AAGGACCTTTCTAACGAAGGGCATTTATCGAGAACTAGTGGAGGCCCAATTGGACACACCGCAGGCACAGTACAGTGCGACGAAGGTTCGCATGAGCGGGGAGGGCTAGTGAAGTACATAACGTACATAACCCCCCTGGCGTACTCTCTGGAAGCCTCCAGTTTCTTCGGGGATGAATGGTGTCCGTCATGAGCCACTAGATCTTCGCAGCTTTACCAACCAGCTTGTCCTAGAATCGCTACAAATCCGTGTTGTTCGGTAAAGATGCCAGGCAGCTCCAGATGGATCGGCCTAACCACTGCGTTACCGCTCACTCTGCAGCATGCTGCAGCAGATGTTGCCAAAGCTGTCTGGCGCGAGGTGGGTGGGATCGAGGTCGGTCAGCTTGATCACTGGTGGCATGTCGCCCGCTTGTCCTATATTGCCAGAGCAAACGGCTCGCCTGAAGCCCTCATCCTGAATTGTGTCGAAGGAGCGCCTGACCACCCCTCACAGTCGGCCGCATACACGGTTGACATCATGCGGCGGCGAGTCAAGATCAAGAGAGGTCAGCAAGGTTATGCGTCGATACCTGCGGATTGTATCCCTCTGCTTGATCGTATTCAAGAATGGGTCGAGCGGATCCCTGAGCGGAAGGAAGAAGCTCGTCGCAACGAGGAAAGAGCGAAGCGTGAGAGACAAGAGAGACAGCGGTTAGCAGAGCTAGAGCGGCAGCGAGTGCGCGCCGCTGCCATCGAGGCCTACGAGCATCGCCTAGCCGATTTTAAAGCCTCTCAGCCTGCGCCAGCCAAGAAGGCCAAATTGGAGGCCAAGCCTTCAGTGACGTCCGTACCTGAAGCGTGCCCAGACTGCGCGGCACCATTAGCGGCCTGCAAGAAGTGCCAACGGTTATCTTGTCCCCAGGCAGGCTGCAGCGGACAAGGAGTGGATCTGCTCTTACGATGTCGCGATCACGACCACGAGATTTTTTGCGGCCCATGCCGCGAACAACAGCGCGCTGTCGACCCGCTCAAACCGCTCCTTGCGGCGTGTTCTCTCTGCAACGAAGTCTTATGCGCGGAACAACTGCTGTTCTGCGACGGTAAAGAAGACAAGGGCACTCCGGCTCACGACATTCGCGTCATCTGTTGTCTCTTCTGCCAACAGGAGGCAGAGGAACAGGGTGATCCTCTAATGTTCATCTGCATCGGCGACGCTTGTCCGGCTCGGCAAACTAGCAATTCCTCCAAAGCACACGTATGCGACGGGTGCGCCCAACTCTACGGCAGACGTTGCGAAGATCATCCGGGCGAGTGGTGGTGTGAGCGTGGCAAATGCGCTGAACAAACACTGTCAAAATGCCCGTCTTGCGATCTGCCACTGTGCCCGACAATCCGCCACCAAGCTTGTGCCGCGTGCAAAACTCCCAGCTCGTGCAAACGCTGCCTTCCGACACTTGCTGAGCCGGAGCGCTTAGGAGAATCCTCACGTGGCGAGAATAATGACCCGTCGGATGAAGCCTCCAGGCCGACGGATGATACGTCCACGGCAGTTAACACTTCTGGTACAGTCTCCCTCATTCCTTTACACTTCTGCAGTTGAGACTTACGAATGGGAATTTCAGTCATCAAGCACCCCATCGTCAAGCTCCATCGTATTCAGTGCATTTGCAAAGAGTTATTTAGCTACTGTGCGGTACACAAGGATCAAGCTGGAAATTTGTCCTGTCAAGTTTGCTACCAGCCTATCTGTTCAAACTGTAGCCTCGTTGACAAGTGTAAAAACGAAGAGTGCGGCGAAAAGCTGGATCTATGCGAAAATTGTTCCGGCACCCTCAACGACTGCCCACAATGCAGTATGCCTTCGCTCGGAGAATATGCCGACGACTGGGAAGATTACGATTACCACTATAATCCGATGGGCGATGATACTTGGTAGTGTGGTGGTAGGTAATGGCAACGCCTCGGGCCAACGACATAACTTCTGCACAAGACAGCCTGCAAGCAGCTTTTACAATATCATATCAAGGTGGATGAGGGCCCCATGACATGGCAGACCTCCGTTATCCCATGACTAGCGGGCCACGGAATCTTTTTCTCTCACCATCGCACTAGACGATGACAGCCTGTAGCTAACTTTGCTGGTGCTGCGTCTGACTCTGGGGCTCCTGGAGCCGGAGCTCGGGGTGCAGGGACAGGCGGAGCCGAGACTTCTGGCTCTGAATCTGTGTCCACAGTGGCCCTTTTCGAGTAATCGATAACTAGCAATGGTGAACAATGCAATATGCTTTTCTTACTGTACTTCTCTGAGAAAGATAAAGATTGAGCGAGAAACGGGAACGAACTAGCCGTGCCACGCTCCACTTAGTTACAGGCGTATTTGGAGCTCGCACCAGCTGACACCAAAATAGCCACTTCAACCGTACCAGTGCCACGCCATGTATGTCAACCAGCTCGTCATCGTTTGGCTAGTTGCTACGGAGGTGCCCATGCAAGAAGTCCCTCGATACATTGATGATTTTGCGATGGAAAGTAGCTCGAGAATTTGGTATACCCTGCAATTGACTGCGATACCGCCACCAAGGCCGACGGTCGACCTTCAAAAGCAAGCCGACCGGCCTCCAACTTGAAGCTTTGGAAACCAGAAGAGCCGTCATTGTGTCGCTACATCGACCTCCTTGATCGTATGCATCGTGTCACTACATCGACCTCCTTGATCGTATTTACCTTGCGGTACGCCCTGAATTTGTCACTTATGCAGCAATCCCCATTTTGCGTGAGCGTAGCGGTCACATCGCTCTCGTAATCGGCACTAGGTCGACTTATCGCCCTTTGAAGCGTCACGGCTACTTCAAGAAACTCCAGAGGAAAATAAAAGGTCCATTCTGAGTGTAAAGCTTCTGAGGATCTTAAGCGAGTCAACCAGTATTTCCAGACTCTCCAAAATGCCATACAAGTGGGGTATACCTCCTGACGATATATGGAATATGGACGAGACTGGATTTCGAATCGGCGTAGGAAAGGGTCAATTAATAATCGCTAGGCAAAATGGGGCTCACTATTTTGGTATTCCCGAGAACAGGGAATCTGCTACTGTCGTTGAGGCCATCTCAGCAGCCTTCTTAATTCTGTCAAGGCAGATGCATAAGGCTTCATAGTATTATATACCGGAGCTAGAACCTGGCTTCATGGTATTATATACCGGAGCTAGAACCTGACACGGCCATCCGACCTGCGTCTACTGGCAACTCAAATGACGAAATTATTCTGGAGTGGCTTCGACATTTTGAAAAGCGTTCCGCAAAGACCTCGAAAAGGCTGATTTCTCGGTGGCCACGGACCACACCACCCGAGGCAGTTCGTTGAGTATTGCGATGAACACGATATCATTCCCTTCAGCATGCCTCAAAATCTCACACATGTACTCCAACTTCTGGATGTTGCAGTTTTCCAACCTTTGAAGCACTACCGCAGTCAAGCCTTTGGATGTCATGATTCGAGACGGCCTCTTGTCAGGATAGCCAAGCTCGAATTTCTTTCCTGCATCCAACAAGTACGATCACGAGCCTTCAAGCCGAGTACTATACGCTCCACGTTCCGAAAAAGGGGAGTCTGGCCATCCAATCCAGAAGTAGTACTCCAGCTGTTGGAGGCTCGTCAGGGTAAAAAGACGCCTACTCCTCCGACTTCAGACTCATGTTCTTCACCATTCCAAACGCCATTAACTATTCAGCAAATAAATAAGGTAGCTGATAGACAGTTATAACCTTCACAAGTAATATAATCTTTTACTTTATAGTAGTATGCTTATATTTAGGTAGTTAAGCTTTAGAATGTACACGCCCCATAGGTTTATAGTTGCCCTTTTGGGGTTTCTCCACCGGGCGTAATAATAAAAGTGAAAGTGATGCCAACTTCCAATCTAGACACTGGCTCTGGCCTAGCTTCAGGCGGATAGCTCCCTTATTGTTCCCTGTCATTGCAGCCTTTGAGGACTTGACCTCTACTGTACCGAACATGAGTTTTGGTCGGGATGTACGGACCAATTGCGATAGTTGCCAGTCTGCTTCATTTTGAGCCTCACCTCCTAATGAAGCGGAATGGTTATAATAGAGCGGCCATAGACAGACATGTAGCGAGTACACGTCCGGCATGTGGATCATACTTTTTAGAGAAGAGCATTGATTGACGGCTTAGTCCATGTGTCAAACTGTATTATAACTCTAAACTTGCGTGTCCTTCTTATACAAGGATACCGCTGAACTCCTGGTAAGTATCATAAGTCTCCGTCCCCTCTGCGGCCTGCTTCGCGGCGGTATCCGCCCTCTCGTTGAGTGCCCTTGGAATTCTCCAAAATTGGATTTCCACGCCCCATGAATTCCATCGTTCCACCTCGCCGAGGAGCATCTCCCACAGATCCTTATTCCTCACAGCTCCAGTTGACGTTCTCCATCCATTGCGCACCCAGGTACGAGCCCAATGAGTGGCACCTTCAGCCACGTACTCAGAGTCAGTTGCAAATACTATTGTCTTGAATCCTTCGCCTTCCCAGTGTCGGAAACGAAGCGCGGCAAGTACAGCTCGTAGCTCTGCTCTGTTGCTCGTTTGATTAGACGGGTCTCCAAAAGGCCCTATATTCTCGAGCCGGGCTGATACATGGCCCGGTGTCTGACCAACAGTTGGTTTGAAGACGAATGCCCATCCTGCCTTTGGATTGGCCTGTCCATTGTTGAGACACGCACCATCGGCATAAATCAACATTTGCTGCGGATCGTCTCGGCGAATGTATCGTGTTACCGGTGGTATAGCTCGACGGCTAACGGCCGGTCGGAACAATGCACTGGGGACGGATGTTGCTAGTGGTGGAACGAACGTGGTAGGGAAACTGCGTCCAGTGCCTCGTCTGATGCTGAGCCTGTCAGGTCTTTCTCCCTCTGCTAAGTCCACTTCCATAAGTCGTACGCCAGAAACGACACCAGCGACTTCGGGACAATTTGTCGCAAAGCCATTAACTCCTGCTCGGCCGCTCGCCCCGTTGTGTATATGGGCTGACTGCGGCGTGTTTGGAATCCATTGCTCTTCGTATGCGGAGTCCTCATCTTCAATTGAGTCGTTCCCATCATCACTCTGCAGGAAGCTGAAGTCCACACAGCAGAGACCACAAATGATGAGGCCATGCGCCCGACAGACAATTTCGCCATCGGGCTGTTCAACAACGAGGTCCTTGTATTGAGGCATGTCGAAGACTTGGGAGGTCAAGTGGTGGTTCAAGGTTTGTGGGCTTGACATGTGATTAGAATTGGGGGCACAGACTTACCTCAGGCACTCAGGCCCACTGGGCGCTTACTGCGCGACGCCCTTCCCTAAAGGGGTAATGGCTCCCAGAGGGCCTGAGCCCACAACTTCAAATTTGTATGACATGATGCTTCGTCACTGACTCGCCTTCACGACGACGCGACAGGTCTGAATACAGACATCGGCATGGAGCTATCTACATCACCTCTTCATCCCTCCCGGCAATGAGCAGCCCGCCGGCCTTCGATAATCCTGATACATCTGTGCGACAGTCTGCACGTAGTAATGACGAGAAACTGGAGTTGGCCGTCAAATACATGCGGGAGGACCTATACTTCAGTATTGGCGACTTCATCAGAGCACTGTCAACTTCCAAATGTGCAGCCAGTGGCAAGAGAAGAGCTGCATTTTCTAATGCTGCATATGAGGATCCCGCGGTCCTGAAAATATATATGGGAGATAAGGAATTGGTGGACGAAAGGCAGGCACATGCCCGATCTCTCCTCGTCCGTCACCTTGATGCCGGGCGCGTCAACTTGCGGCGGGAGGTTAAGAAGCTATGCGAGCTGCCACCCTTTCACGCACCACAGCAGGATGCCAGCGCCTTGACACGACTGAACATGGGCAATGTCATCCAAACCGCGGAGGATAGTTGTCCGTTACTCATGAGCATTCTCCGTACCACAATGATGCCATGGCATGTCAATTCGGCTAGCATTGAAGAGCAGTATAGCCCACAGCAAGGAAGTCTCGTTACTATACTGGCAGTGATGTGCCGCTCAATGCATCTCAGAGAGGCATCAGGTTTCCAGCTACAAATGGGTATATATCTACACTCCAAAGGTGTCAAAAGAAGGCAACTGGAAGCTTTGTACCGGCTTGGGCTTTGCAGCTCTTACCAGACAGTTTTACGTGCTGTCAAGAGACAGTCAGATGCAGCCGTCGGCGAAGTGACAACAAGAGGATGGCAGCCAACAGTCATCACAGCATACGACAACTTCGAGCAGATTGAACATGTTAAAGAACAGCAAGTTGGCCATGACAACTCGTTTCAATCAGTAACGACTGGTTAGCTTATTTCTGGCATCGAAATGCCAGAAGGTGGACTACAGCAGAGCATGCTGAACCAGTCGGTAAAGCTGAGACTGACAGATATCATCTGCGACCGGGAAATGAGAGAGATGTTGTGGAATTAGAGGTAAGAATACAAAGTTTCCTGTGTTGTGCTCAGCTGGCTGACACCCTAAACTGATAGAATTCCCGATATCTTGTATACAATGCTTTTAAAAGTGCATTTCCGGACAGTATCACCATGTCGAATCCTCCTTCACAGCAGGTGATGGCAGCAAAGCAACACTCTATTATGCCATGAATCTCTGGATCCGTAAAGGCATACAGAAGAAGAAAGCGGATTTTTTTCTCACTGGAACACCTCGTCATCCACAGAAATTGAGGTAATAACGGGCCGTCGTCGCGTGCCGATGCTGGAGATATTCGTGACGCGAACTGTCCTACAGTCCTAGATGGCTGCAACTCCACAACCACGCGTCGAAATGGAACAAAAGTCGGATTAATGGATATTTGGAGCTTGTAGGACCTTTCTAATATATTATTGTATTGATTTGTGCTGAATTGTAGTCTCTATATCGGTGTTGTCATTGGTAGTGTTGGGGTCGACCCCGCGAAGTATTATGCTTACTGCAAATTTGTATGGGAGCGAAGCATCATCTCACCGGGTTCAAGTTCAGGTTCAGGTTCTATTCCTACTCGGTTTTAGCCGCCATCCAAAGCAGCCATGCCCGGTAAGCGGGGTTTGGCCGACTGCCGAAGCGCTCCGAATATTCATCCGTTACGCCCCACTTCACCAACACCATCCGGTGCCTGGCCAGCTGTCTCCAAACTTCCCACTTTTCCTCCTTAACGTATCTACATTGGCTCACCAGCTTCCGTAGATCGCGGTTTCATACTAATATACACATCTATGTCTTTAGGTCCAGGTAGGGCGAAAGTGTACCCTGTGTATGCGTCCTCCTACCTACTTTCCCCCAATGCTCAGCTTGGTCTGGTTATGGGTCCGTCCTGAATTGCCCAAGGCAGACCTGCGTATTTGGATACGATATATCGATATCAACTCTGCTATCTGGATATATCGATATTGATATATATCGATATCCATATAACTTTCTGCCTCTTAAAGGGATATCCAGATTGATATCCACCTACTGTCATTCGCACTGATTGGCTGAAATGATCTTGTCAACTAACTAAATCATGAAAAGACTCCCCTCAAATTCAACATTGCCGTGCCACTAGATGTATCCACTTGCTCTGGGAGGCAGCTCAGCGAGATGAATAAGTCGTTGGGCGATATCACAGTTACTGACCGCATCTTAGACGACGCCGATGTCTTGGAAACCTTTTATTAATGCACTGCCGACCCGGATAACTGGCTCTTCCCTCGAGTGGTACTGCATCGAGATAGAATGAAAGCAAATCCGCGGCTATCCCGCATGCCAATTAATGCCCTCTTAATTCCCCCTGGATCATCTAATGTTGAGTCTCACCTCTCATCGGAATGGTGTACGCTATCGTTGGGTAGAGAGAGCAGAACCTGGCGGAGATTGAGTAAAACTTGAGTGTGTGGGAACCTGAATACGAGAGGGTATCATTGTACCCAGGTCTCACAGCAGCAGAGGGGCTATTTCGAGCGTTGCTGTTAAATTTAGCGTTGAAGCAGAGGCAGAGGTCTTTCTAGAGTAGGGTAATTTGATGTCCTTTCTTCTAGAATACAAGAACTTGATATGGCATATCTGGATATCAACCTTGCTAAAGTGGCTACGTGGCTATACGGATATCTATCTGGATATATCGATATCCAGATAATTTTCTCCACATATCTGGATATCGATATAAGGGCCAGGAATTTGGTGGATATCGATATACGCAGGTCTGGCCCAAGGATCTGAGTTTGTTCCATGAACTTGACAACCTTTGCTGCTACTTTGCGCTCGCTCAATAATTGTTGGGTCAAGGCGTTGAATACGTATTCATTTGTTGGCACAAATTGATAGTATATTCATGATTGTCTGTTCTTGTTGTTGTTGTTAAGCTATGTAAGTGCCTCCATCGCTGCTGCCTTGGTGGCAGGCAGCAACGATGTGGAGCACTGCTGCCTGCTGCACGTGGTAGCTGCAACAATAATACCCTGAGATTTTGTC